ATAACTGAAATGTACCAATTTGGATAAATGCATTTATTGTATATAAATACAAGTTACTGAGGAATTAGCTTACATTTTTAATAAGAAAACGTGGAATTTTGTTTTTGTGGGGTTTTTCTTGTTTTTTTTCTTGGTGGCTGGCCAATATGGGAATCTGAACCCTTGACCCTCATGTTACAACACTAATCAACTGAGCAAACTGGCCAGATCCCAGAATATGGAATTTCATATGACATATTACAATATTCATTTCAGATACCTTATACTATTTTTTTGATGATTGGTTAAGATTGTGTAGTTTATAGTGACTACAAGACATTGTGTATGTACATGTGTGCACATACACGTATCCTTTTTTTGTTTTCTAAAAGACAAGCCAACTACAGTAGTGAGAAAGAAAGAAAGGGTAGAACAAGGAGCTGGATCTGTAACTGACTGTGAACAATCACCTGAGATAACTAACCACCTTCAGACCAGCCAGCATGTATATTTTAAACTTACTCTACTACTAACTTATTAAGATTTTAAAAGATCACAATATTAAATGGTGAAAGAATGCTAAAATAGATGATTAAAAATGAAAAGTTATCAAACTGTGAATTTCTTGAGCACAGGGGCCTAAAACCAGCTTATGAACTGAAGCTTTCATTTGCACAGGAATTGGCTTTATTTTCACAAAGAAGTAAGAAATAATGGAGGCTTATCCTTCAGGATGTAAAATATACCAGTTAAAAAAATTTTAGGAAGTATTTCAAACTTGGAAAAATATAATACAGATAAAATAAATATATCCAACTGGCATACTTCTAACTCAAGTATGCCAGTTTATAACCTTTATTACATAGAGAACCAAACTCTTTATTTCCTCTTTGAAACTACAGAAACAATAACTTCTAAAACCGCATAGTTTTTTGAAAAGTTAAGTAGAGAATGGAGACTAACTAGAATATAAGAATCCTGAAAAAGGAAGGAAAGTTAAGACTATAATACAATCTTGATATTATGACAGACAACATCCCAAGATAAGTATGGAAAAAGCATTATTCTATTAGCCAAAGACGTCAGAGTCACTGGCAAATTCAATACATTATTTTAAAAATCATGCCTGAAAACTTTGACTTTCTTCCTCTTCACTTTTATTACCAATATGTACTAGTAACTGGCTTCCTTCTTAAGAAAGATTCTTCACAGAAACTATTTTCCCACTTTAAAAAGTACAACGAAGTAGAGAACAATTTATTGTTGCAGCACTGAGATGCAGACACTGGATGGAGGGCCAGGCCTTCTCTTATCAAAGTTAATCATCCATGTATAATAGTTGCTCAGTACATAATTTAAATCTGTGCTTCATCATAATCACAAATTAGTTTATGTAATGGACTTTTAGGTTCATCTGTCAATAATCAAAGCTACCAAGTAATATCCATGAACAAAAAACCAAAAAACAAAATAAGGCGTAAGATATACACAACACAACCAACAATATATTTACAAAACCAGAGGTGGGAAGTGAGGGCAAGGGAGGAAGTGGTAAAGGGCCACAAAAAATGATTACATTGTATAATGCTGAATATATTAATTATCTTGATTTGAGCTTCACATATCACACAGGTATTGATATTCAACTCTGTACCCTATAGATATGTATAATCAACTATGTTTCAATTTTTAAAAAATTCACTGAAATGAAAAAAATAATCTACTAATAAATTATAGAACATATATAGTAAACCATGATCAAAATGTAATTCATAAGAGTGTTTACTCATAAGCTCTCGTTAGCACTATTGCTTTGCCAAAAATAAATACAGATTTTTTTTTAATTAAACTGCAACTGTATATATAACTTTCAGAATCACTATGGATTACTGATTAAAATAATCACCATCTCATTGGAGAGAATGGGAAATAAGACAGAAAAGTTGGGAGGCATTTTGAAAGTGCTACTGCTTCACATTTTTATCACAAATGTTGAAAAGGTAAGATCAGAACTCAGAATTTTCAAAGAAAAAAAAAAACTGGTGAAATGAAATACCAATTACCTGGGGAGCTTTTATAAACTTCATGCAATATCACAAATGTTGAAAAGGTAAGATCAGAACTCAGAATTTTCAAAGAAAAAAAAAAAACTGGTGAAATGAAATACCAATTACCTGGGGAGCTTTTATAAACTTCATGC